TTTTCCCTCCACACTTAGACTCAACACCTCCAATTAGCTCGGTTGGCTACGTACGATGCAAAAGAAGTTCAACATACAAACAGCGTGCGCTTAGAGTAATTTGGCTGCTATAAATTTCCACGTGATAAACCATTTCGTTGGGCTATCATTTGTGGTCACGTCGCTTCTGAAAAGAGCCACATAACTCAGTCGGCCTTTTAAACTATACAAAACAAATTGTTTAGAAGTTTAAAATTGTACTACCGGGTCGGGCATCGCACCTCATCACGGATGTGTCGTGGTGCTTGCTCGGCCGGCTTCTGTCGCCGCATCGTTCGATGTTGCTACACCGTCGAGAGCCACGGGTCGTTACACACAAAACGAGTTGTCTTGAATGTGATCAGTCGCAAGAAAGGACCCTGCCTGTGCCTGTCAACGTCGCGAGGGACTGACGGACCAAGTGACCGCTTAGGGCTGCGATATTAAATGAACACAAAAAGACGCAGGCTAAGCAACCTCTCGCAATTACGCAAACCAAAGACCAGAGACCATAAACCTAACTTGTTCTGCAGGGTAGAGTCGCTGCCCTTGTTTCTGTATCAACATCTATGCGTAGTCTCAACCTCACGACCGAACAGCTATTAACATAATAGCATACACTCAAAGACAAAGGCTTAACAAACTTTTGGGGCAAGTGCTTTTAGCGATCACTTATGAAGGCCGGGACGATATACGAGGGGGTGAGTGGCCAGCACTACGCCCGACCGCCTTTGTATCCCGAGTGGCGATAAATACACACCGCACCAGGTACTAGTTTGAGGCTGAGTGCACCTACGGGAGGCACAGGACCGGTTCAAATAATCGTCACTGGTGTTGGCCATGAGCGGAAATCAAACTCGGGTTGCCGGGTTCGTAGCGCAGCGCGCTAACCGCGACACCATCTGCTCCCCTACGACCCAACTAGCATACCACCATCAACACAATACGTACATCACCTACCCACTTACTCCTAATAATCCTGGCGTCTGGGTACCGTGGGTATGGGATGCAAACTTTCCCCATATTGTCCCCTCTTGATGACTCCACGTAATGTCGTGCAGGATCAAAGAGTCGCCGGTGTCGCTCTGACGAGGTTCCTTGTTGTCGTCGAGACGGACCCCGAGGAGGAGTCAGAAGGCGCAAGCCGCGCCTCGCTCCGCCTCGCTCCTGATCCTTGCCTCTGTCCCCCGACCCGGACTCAGTCCGTGTTGCTTCTGGGACTCAAGTTTTGGTCACTGGAATGCTGTTAGGTCGCTGATTTAACGCAGTTGCGGTGGAGTGGCTGGACTTGGCCCTGGCACTGGCAGTGGAGTGGCTCGATTTAGCCCGTCAGCAACTCCTTCTTCTCGGAGTGACCGACTCCTTGGCTGTGAGTGCAGTCCTTCGGCCCTGTAGCAGCAGCAGCAGCAGCACGTGCCGTGTCTGCTCCGTTGGACATCTCAGGTGTTGAGAGGTCTCAGCCGTCGGTGGAGGCCTCGTGTTCAGAGCGACACACGGGGTTTGACTCCAGCGCGGTTGGTTAATCTTCCCCTCCTCTCAGATCCCTCCTCCTCTCCCGCGCCTCGCCCTCACCTTGACCCAGTTTTCACTTTCCTTTGCAGTTGTATGCATGTGTATCTATGCTGAACTTCTTTCGCACCGTACGTAGCCAGCCGCGCTAATCGGAGGTGCGGGGGGAAGAATAACAGACTGAGTTGCGGCATTGGCGTGGTCATCCCCTCGCCCCCTGCAAGATAATGTTTCCATCCCCACATCGCCCACACCCCAATGGCCCTTAACCATTAACGTGTACCGTATTGGCTCTCGTGGGGCAATCTGAAACTCGCTCCGTCACACGCATCTGTGGTGCAGCACACACGAGGAGTCTCTCCAGTATTCTTAGTCCCAAGTAGCGTCGTTGAGTCGAAGCGTCTCGTGCGCAGTGCGGTGCTGTTTGTGTTCGACATGCGGCGATTTGATTGGAGAGGACGGTAAGGCAACGGTCGATAAACCAAAAATAACAATACGAGCCATTCTATTATTGTTTTTTTCTGTAAAGTCACGGAGAAGGGAAATAATACAATAATAAAAAATAAAACATAAGACAGCTCTGTTCTTCACCTGAGGACGGCTGCTTGCGTTGTGGCCGAAACGTCGTGAGAATTTTATATTATTATGTTTTATTATTTTATTATTCCCTTCTACGTGACTTTACCGAAATAACCAAGAAAATGAATCCCTGCAGTCACGACAGCTTTAAATCGAAATTTAGGAGCCATTCTCTTTGGTTCTTTCTGTAAAGTCGCGTAGTTAGAAATAAAACGTGTCAGCGGTTGTCCTGCTGTGTCGGTGCCACCTGATGAAGGTCGCGTGTGCTGCGATCGAAACGTCGTGATTTTTTTAAACGTCGTGATTTGTTTTATTTGATTTCTATCTACTTGACTTTACCGAAAGAACCAAAAACTATGGATTCCTGCAGTCACGAAAGCTTCAAATCAAGATTAATACGAGGCATTTTTGTTCGAATTCGGTGGTCAAAAACAACCCCCCCACCCACCCACCCCACCTCAACATTTCAAGAGCCACAGTGCAACGTCGTGAATACGAGGCGCGGTGCTCCCCTAGAAAAAGCCGCATGCTGCTCCAGAGCCCCACGTTGCACGACCCCTGAGTCGTGGGGGTTGTGGGGGACTGTGGAGCCCTCTTGCTCTGCACGTTTAATTCCCCAGTGTCCCCGGGGAGGGATATATTTAGTGCCTCCGAAAAACAGCTAACAACAACCATATATCGACTTGACAATGCCAGTGCTGAGCCTGGTTGGACCTTGCACGGGAGGCTGATTGGGAATAGACGGTGCTGCAGAGTTGGGGCCAGATGCGGGGTGACCAGAAGATTCACGCGTAGCCATGCGTTACCAAATATCTCTGCGTGTGTAAAGCAGAGAGAGTGGTGGGTTTATTGCGGGGTTTCCGCGGATTCCTCGCCACAATAAACAAATCAAATTATTATTGGGACTGGACAAAACACCTCAAACTTAACAGGATCCTCATTGAGGCGTTGCTATTATTGCGTTGTGCTTAACACGCGAAGGCGATATCGTTATTCTTAGTGAGTGTTGTCAATCTAGAATTATTGAGTGAAGTCTGCCTCCCACAATGTGGGTCATGGGTATTGTTTGACCATACTTCACCAAGCTGAGTAGTCCAAGTCCGGTGAATGCGGTCCTTACCCTTTGACCCCGCGGGATATTTGCCAGGTTTGGGGTTTCGCGCCCTCGTGACCTATGCACGGTGGTGGTGACGCGAAAACTATGAGCATTATTTCTTCATACTCTTTGGTTCTTTCGGTAAAGTCACGTAGGTAAGAAATAAAATGAAAACGTTGCGGGCGCAACACAAGCGTCCGTCATCAGGACGCTAAAATAAAATAAAAATAGTATAAAATAAAATAAATCACGACGTTTCGGGCGCAACACAAGCGTCCTGATGACGGACGTGATTGATTTAATTTTCTACCCACGTGACTTTACCGAAATATCCAAAGAGTATGGATTCCTGCAGTCACGCAAGCTTCAAATCAAGATTATATCTTCATTTGACCTGGTTGAAGGCCGACTGAGCTATGTAACTCTTTTTCAGAACGCGGCCTGGCGATCACAAATGATAGCCAAACGAAACGGCTTCTTATCATCATCGCGTGGAAATGTTTCGCAGCAGCCAAAGACTCTAAATGCGTGATGTTGATTCTCGATGTGGTGGGGGAAAACGGAGGATCCCGAGAGAATCCACGCGGCCAGGGAGAGAAGAGACACGTCAACTCCAAATATACAACACGTGTTGGGTCGGGTTCGAACCCACGACCTCCTTTTATGAAAAATAAGAATAGGTTTTACCCTTTCTGGCGATACAAAAGGTGTTAAGATGTTCAAACACCAAATAGATACATTTTGCAAGGCATTGCGTCTTCATTCACCACACGTACTTGTGGCAAGATATGCAAACAAAGTGCTCTGATAATAAATTTATTGTCTTCGAAATTGACTGGCCTCCACCATCCTTCTGTGTGGCCTTGTCTGACCACCAGTATCAGCCCAGAGAACCCCTGAAGGCGAACAAGTACAAAAGACAACGAAAGCATCAGAACACGTAAAGCTCCGGTCGAGCTGTTATATTAATAGGAAACCTTTTTTTTTGCCAGAATCTAAAATTATGAAAAATAAATATGCTCTCTGTGTCGGGGCGCCGCAACGGGAGCTGTCGCGAGGTGTCACCGTGCAGCACCTGTCACGAATCAGACGACGCCACCGCCAGAGCAGATGAAGCCAGGGACGCGCGCGTGCACGTGCGTGTGCGCGTGGAACAATCAGAGCGGCCGGGAAGGGCGAGTTCAACGGCCGAGGGAGAGTTTAATGTTTCTGTTGCTCGATGCTATTTATGTTTGTTCGCGACCACGTGGAGCGTGCGACCAACGCTTGAATCGACGAACAGGTGGTCGAACGATTCGGGAGCGAACGACAGTGACGTAGTCTCAGAGTGGCTGACGGTGGCGACAGTCTCAGCTGCTCGTTCGCGCCGCGCTGCTACTTGGCAGAGACTCGTAGCAACCCGCGCCACCACCACCATCACCACCATCAGCAGCACCACCACCACCACCAGCAGCAGCAACAGCAGCAGCAGCAACAGCAGCATCCTCCCCGGGGGCGCCCAGCCAGTAGCGCTCCCTGCTTCGTTCCCTATCACCACCACCATCATCACTATCACCACCATCACCACCATCACCATCACCACCGCCGCTTTCTTTGCCCCCCCCCCCCGTCCGGCTCCACGGCGCTCGCAGCAACGCGACCCCCCCCCCGTCCTCCCCTTCGCCGTGCCCACCCTCGTTTTGCCGCTCGACCCGCGGCTCTTCTCTCGTCGCTCGGTATTTTTCCACTGCCCGACGTCACGGCGTAATCTGCGAGCGCGGGGATAAAAGCGGCGGCGGAGCAGCGCCTGCGCACTCGGCGCTGCGTCTGCTCGAGAGCAGGAGAGAGGAGCGAGCGAGCGAGCGAGCGGCGTTTCTTCGTTGCGCGCGTGTCCCTCCGCCTCCTCCTCCTCCTCCTCGCTCCCGCGACTCACTTCGCGTCGTCGGCTCGAACGATCTCGTCCCTCCGTCAACATGGCGTGCGGCGAGGGCAAGGCGTGCCCCGACGGCGGTGGCCTTGCCCCTCCGTCAAGCTGCCCCGCGTCGTGTTCCCAAGCTCCGACGTCCGCTCCGCACTGCCCTGGAGTCCCGTCCGCCGGACCCACCGCAGCAGCCGTCGTCCTGCTCCCCCGCGAGAAGTGGGGGAGCCGCGTGGAGTTTATGCTGTCCGTGGCCGGAGGTTTCATCGGCCTGGGGAACGTGTGGCGCTTTCCCTACCTGTGCTACAAGAACGGAGGCGGTGAGCGGCACCTTGCCATTCTCACCCTCTCACGCAATCCGCTTTCTATTCTCCCCTTAATCTGCTCCAGTCTCGCCCTCTCGGCAGCTATGCTCGCGGACTGCTCGGCATCGTTCCACCTGGCATTTAGCAGGGAGGCGGTCACCAGGCACCCGATTTAATTTTTTTGTTTCAACAAGTGCCGCTTATTCGATCCCCTAAATAAAAAAAGAGTTCAGAAAATGCGTAAGTCAGATTTCAACAAATGAAATAATTGCACCTATTTTGAAACGTATCGAAATCAGAACACTCACGTGACCTTTTAAACGAACGTGCTTTGACAATGCAGTTGACCATCGATCGGAAAGACACTTTTATTCGTGCGTGAAATCAACGGCGCCTGTTCCAATTCGTAAACCCAGGCGCAGTGTGGCGTGGCCGCGCTGCGACTAACCAGCCTCGCGCTCGCACCTGCTCTCTCAATCGCATTAGTCCCTCGCTCGCTCTGCGTACTCTACCGAGTGGGGGGGGGGGGTCCAGAGACGATCGCCGCCGTCGTCTCTCTCCGTGCGCGCCCGCCGAGGAGTCGTGGAGATGCCAAAGTAGCGGCTGTCACCGGCTGCGCGGCGACGATGCCAATACTCAACTTTCTAGGAAATCTCGCGAGCTCCGCTCACATTTCACGCTCCAAGGGGGTTGCCTCGTTCGTCGTTCCTCGCCACGAGGGCGCGCGCTGCCGCGTGCGGCGATTGGCGGTGAACGAGACGCGCAGCTGCTGTTGCTGCTGTTGTTGCTGCTGCTGCTGTTGCTGCTGTTGCTGCAGCTGCTGTTGCTGTTGCTGCTGTTGTTGTTGCTGTTGTTGTTGCTGCTGTTGCTGTTGCTGCTGTTGCTGCTGTTGCTGCAGCTGCTGTTGCTGTTGCTGCTGTTGTTGTTGCTGTTGTTGTTGCTGCTGTTGCTGCTGCTGCTGTTGCTGCTGTTGCTGCAGCTGCTGTTGCTGTTGCTGCTGTTGTTGTTGCTGTTGTTGTTGCTGCTGTTGCTGTTGCTGCTGTTGTTGTTGCTGTTGTTGTTGCTGCTGTTGTTGCTGCTGTTGCTGTTGCTGCTGTTGCTGTTGCTGCTGTTGCTGTTGCTGCTGTTGTTGCTGCTGTTGTTGCTGCTGCTGCTGTTGCTGCTGTTGCTGCAGCTGCTGCAGCTGCTGCTGCTGTTGTTGCTGCTGTTGTTGCTGCTGCTGCTGTTGCTGCTGCTGCAGCTGCTGCTGTTGTTGCTGTTGCTGCTGTTGCTGCAGCTGCTGTTGTTGCTGCTGTTGTTGCTGCTGCTGTTGCTGCTGTTGCTGCAGCTGCTGTTGTTGCTGCTGTTGCTGCAGCTGCTGTTGTTCCTGCTGCTGCTGCTGCAGCTTCTGCTGTTGTTGCTGCTGCTGTTGTTGCTGCTGCTGTTGTTGCTGCTGCTGCTGTTGCTGCTGCTGCTGTTGTTGCTGCTGCTGCTGCAGCTGTTGCTGCTGCTGCTGCTGTTGTTGCTGCTGCTGCAGCTGCTGCTGCTGTTGTGTGGGTGGTGATCCATGACGGAGAGTAACACGGAGGAGCAACGCTGTGCCCTAGTTTAGAGTCAGAATAGATATGTGTTTTAGAATAAATGTTTTACACTGGAGGAACCCGATGAGCTATAAAGCTCTTTTTCACAGATGTCGTGAGAATTATTTTATTATGTTTTATTTTTATTATTTAATTACTTCCCTTCTACGTGACTTTACCGAAAGAACCAAGAAGATGCATCGGTTACTTATCGCCATGGTGGCTCATTAAGAATGTAGTCGCATGCGATGATTCGTGTGTCATGTCTCGTCTGCCCTGCCTCTTTCACCCCGACCTTGACTCTTCTCTACTGTCTCCTGCCTCTCACGCAAAGTCCGCGAGTGTTCGCATGGAATGTATCGTATCGTCGCTGGCAGTAGCGGGAGCAGTAGGAACAGCAGCCGCGGGGTCCTCGCCCGAGCCGCGGTCCCCGGAGTCCCCCTCCTGTCCCTGTCGACAGGTTCGCGTTGACGGGGAAGACGAGCGGCTCCCTCCGCCACACTGACAGCGCTCCGATTGTGTCGCAATCACGCGTTCAGAATTCAATTTACCGCAATGGATGCTCTGCCGGGCATCGCTCTGCTCGTTTTATTTTAATTCGCAGTTTTCGTCCGGCCACTTTTTATTCGCTCCATATATATATGTAAGCACGCGGCGCGTGTAAAGTTAAAACTTCACTTGCACGTAATTTACATGCATCGCAAATAACAGACCATCACCGCATGTGTGCAATCAGTTGTAAACTACGTGTCGCTACGTGCTGGTTAAACATCGTTACAAAGGACTGTGACTTCTTTGGAAAGTCCAGTGCTTGCCACGAAGTGTAAAGGATATGCCAAGCTTAAACCACGAGGCGCTTGGCAGCATCCGTCTCTTAGCAACGGGCCCAGGAGGTCTTGTTGCCCGTTCCATATATCCTGCTGGACTGTAAACAACAACAATGAGAAACGAGTGCATAATGCGACACGTCCATTCATGATACATCACCGAGTGAGCGTTGCGCGTGGTTGGTTCATTTGCCAGCGTGGCCACTCTGAGGCTCCGTGTTCGTTCCCGAGTGACAAAAGCACTCGGAATTCCTGTCGGGAGGTGGCCATGTGTCCCCCCCCCTCCTCCCAGCATCCTTTCGGCGCTTGGCATTTTAACAAACGCACGCGGTTGTGATGGCTGCGTCACTCGTGGTGCATAGGCACGCGTGGTTTAATACGATCGGCGACGTCTCACGTTTATTACAACTTGCACGATATCATGGGACCTTTTTGCCAGTATCAAAGTAAGAAACATAAGAAGAGGTTTTATTATTTCTGACAACTTGCGTCAGAATAATGACCTCTGGCAGTGATTAAACAGATATAATAACCTTCGGTAGAATTATTTTTCGGGGAAATAATTAAACTTGTCCGTGAAGAGAAAATGCCTCTTTTGTTGTTGAAGGAGGTTGCCTCGTTTGTTGTGTTTAGTTTGTTGTGCTTCCCCCGCACCTCTAATTAGCACGGTTGGATACGGTGCAGAAGAAGTTTAACCTTTCATACGTACGTAGGCCAATCAGTTTCAAAGACTGCGTATATTTATCAGAGCATTTTTGTTTGCATGTTTGACCACAAGCATGGGTGGTCAATGCAGACTTGATCATGCTATGAAACAGGTGTGTGTCCATTTGCTCTTTGAACATCTTAACACAACTCATGTGGTATTGCCAAAAAGGGTAAAACCAATTCTTATTTTTTCTTCGTAATTTTAATATATCCATCTCTTATTCACTCAATCTCTCTGGCCTCTCTATGGGTTGTGGATAAGAGTCATTGCCACGGTGGCTGGGAGATGTTAACTACCTCACCTGGTGTACAGGAGGTCGTGTGTTCGTTCCCGACCCTGACGCCTGCTGCTGCTGTATATTTGGAGTTTGCGTGTCTCTTTCCTCGTGGTCGCGTGGATTTTTTCCCGCGTCATCCAGTTTTCCCCTCCACATTTAGAAACTTGCGTTTTAGAGTATGTGGCTGCTATAAATGTCCACATCATGATAATGCACTTCGTTGATTTGTCATTTTTGATAGCCAGATCGTTTCTGAAAAGAGATATATTGCTCAGTTGGGCCTTAACTGCTAAAATAAAAAAATATTTTTCTTTTTAGTTTTAATTCAATATGAAGTGGAGCCATCTAGGACTTCAACAACAAAAAACATCTAACCGGACGCGCAGGATCTGGGGAAAGTGCACTGCGATGAGAACAGCGCGCATCTACTCCAGAGGAGGCGCAATCGGAACCAACGTGGCCTCTTAAGGAAACGGCAAGGATAGTGATTAAATATCACAGCAGAGAGGCAACAGCATCATGGGACAGCCGTAGAGATGGAACGCAACCGGTGCGCACGTGGGAAGGAGACGCATTGCATCAGCAGTGGAAATAGACACCCTGGCAACTGAGCATCGTTTTTAATTCAAACACATTTCTCAGCAAAGGCCCCAAAAACGCCAAGGGTTCGGCAACAAACAGCACTATTGCAAGTTGTAAAAGGCTAGAGATAACACGTGCCTTGAATTGAGAAAGGTTATTCTAAGCGCTTGTGAAAAATGTTAAATGGGGAGAGGGAGAAGATTATTTTTCTAAAGTGGAGCAGTGCCAGGGAAAAAGCAGAGAGAGGAAGAATTGTCGTGACTTGCAGGGCAGGTGTGTGTGCAAAGCGTCCTCAAACAATCGTTCTCAGGGCGCTGGGAGACCGATTCCTCTACATGCAAAGAGGAATCGCCGAGTAACGTTCACCGCAACAGTCACCACGATAGAAGCGATAGAAGCGTGATAGGGAGACGACTGACCCGCGACGAGACGGTGGACTCGGGCGGGTCATCAATCAGCCCGCCCACTGCTCTCCGTTGATCGTGGTGGGGGGTGGATGGGACGCGGGGTTGGGCATTTGCGTTGAGTAGCGGCGCCATGCGATTAGCGCGGGCGTGTGCCAGCCCCCAGTTCCCCGCGCCGTGACCTCGCCGACTCGCCCCCTCGCCTCTCGCCGCGGCTCGACCGCTAATCTCCCGAGCACCCGGCGAGTGTTTACTGCCCCGAGCAGCACGCGAACTAAATGGGAACAGCAGCGATTAGCAATGTTCCCTCGGAGGGATGCCGCGCGCATTTTCGAAGCTTTCCATAATCTTCGCATCTCTCCCCCGTGCGAAGACGCAATTTGAGTGGACTACGAAGGCGTTATTGACAAACATATGGGTCACGTCTGTGTATTACTGTATTTGAGCATCCGTTGTCTGAATTAGTGCGTGTCTACTGCAGTCACAAGTGTCCCCACACGCGCCGGTTCCCCTCTTACAGGCTCATCTCAGTCCCACCGACACATCCCCCCCTGCGGTGGCCGAGTGCCAGTCTCTCCTCGCCACGGTGGTCCGAGCCTTGCACGCCCAGGGACAGATTTGGCCAACGCGCAAAGAACTGCAGACTCCAGACAACGAGACCTATATTACATAACGGTCCATATGTTTATCCGGCCAGGTTGGACATCGGTGGAGTTGGCAGCTCGCGATTGGATAGTCGCGTGTTCAAATTCCTGGTTGGGTAGGGGGGGGGGGTAATTTAGCCCACCATGACTCTGAGGTCGATAAAATAAAATAAACACTTCTGGGGAATTGAACGTTGGTTGCCCTCGGCATAGAAAAGTGGAATTTCCACCCGCGGCTCATGGACATAAATATGAGGTGTTAATTTGAGCAAGAAATCGCCTTGTGATTTATGGAAAATGTATGCATTTAAATGAGATAGCAACATGATTAGTCATACAACATGACTAAAACAGTACACGTGTGTTTTTCTAATGGGTCTGTTCGTATTGAAGTGTCCATTCAACTTAAGAATGGTAACCCATTTGATAAGGCCAATGCATGCAAATACCTTGGCATTTTCATTGACGAAAAGCGACATTTTTAGCCTCATTAAACACATTCATCTTGGTACATAGAACGACGAGTTGGTCACGACTCGTGCAGGGAGGAGGAGGCATCGTCTACTCAAGGCAGTGACACTCACAGTCCTTGACGATTGCGATATATTATATCAATGCGCCTCAGTCAGGGCCTTGGAGAGTTTAAATGTTGTTACTTTTTGTTCTTTCCTCCGTTTTTATCTCCGATGCCAGCCACTTCACTCGACGAAGCATCCGAATAAACGCGCTCAATGACATTTACTAGACACAGATCGAAGGAAAAGGAACTCTCTTCTGTTCATACACAAGATTTTATTAAATGTAAAAAAAATTGTTGTATATTCTGAAGGGACAATTAACCTTCAGTATTCTCGCCCATATCGATGGCGTACAGGCCACTTGGGCTGCTGTTAAATTAGAAACATCATTCAGCTGGTTCTCACCGTGTTTTAAATAAAATTGTAAAATAAGATCAGCCGTATTGGGCATTGCAACATCAGCGCCCCGCCTATTCTGAGGACCATTGATGAGATTTTAAGTGAAAAAATGTATTTATTGATTATGTAATGGTATGTATGTTTATATTATGTATGTTGTTTGTCTCTTAACTGTGATTATTACATGTGTTATTGTTAGTGTTTAATGTCATGTTAGAAACACTGAGTTTGTGCGGCTCTAAAATTACCTGGGTAAAAAGTGGTGGGCTAAATGTTTGCCCACTCCTGGCCAGATGGCTCAACAACTTAATGTCTGTGTAGTGGATTTGTACCCACCACAGAAGCTTATCATGGGATACCTTTTTTGGCAGTTTTAAAGTATGAAAAATAAGAATAGGTTTAACCTTTTTGGCAATACAACAGGTGCTCACATTTTAAAACACCAAATGGATACCTACAAACAGACATGCTCTTATTATATATGGAATTTTCTTTGAAACTGATTGGACTACAACAGAGACAGCCTTCTTTATGACCTATTTTCATAAGTGTCAGATCAGAAAACGCCAAAAGACGAATAGTTCATATTCCCATTAATTAATGATGTATATTGAACTTCTTTCGCACCGTACGTAACCAACCGTGGCTAATGGTAGATGCATGAATAAAATACAATACAAATATCCATCAAAATAGATAGACGAGATTGATCATAACCCTGACTCTAACTTAGAGGAAATACTGTGCATACAATGTATTCAGATAAAATCGAAACGATAGAGAGATGAATAGAATAACAATTTCATCCTACAAGATATGAGGAGAGATAAAATCTGGATAAAATCAACAAAATAGATACATCATTGACAGAACAGAAACGCACGCAGAGTGGATGCGGGGATAGAGCGAGGGGATGGGCAGTGAGGGCGGCTCGCGCCGGGCCCCCTCGCTGGCCCCCCGTGCAGTGAGGGCGGCTCGCGCCGGGCCCCCTCGCTGGCCCCCCGTGCTCAAGGTCCCCCCCCCACATCCTCCCCACCCCCCGTGCGTCTCCCCCCACTCGGCACCACCCCTACGCGTTGCCTATATACTTCCACATTTGTTGAAAGTCATTTCGTTAGCGTAAATTATTTAGTCTGATCGCTGGCAAAAAAGGGCCTTTCTCAACAATAGCTGTAATCATGCCGGGAGCCGAATCCAATTAACTTGTGAACCACGTGTGTGACAGCACTGCTCGGGCACATCCCTGACACATCACTGACACACATCATATTCTTAGGTTTTTTCGGTAAAGTCACGTAGGTAAAACATCAAAATTAATAAAAAATAAATAAAATAAAACAAAAATCACGACGTTTCGGAGGCAACACAAGTCTCCGTCATCAGGTGGGACCGTCACAGCCGGATTAGCTGCATCAAGTGGGACGCATCTCTCTGGCATATCCTCGTCCCTCCGACACATTTCTCCATCGTGCTCTTTAGCCTCCAACGCGTCTTAAGGGACACGGCAATTGCGCCCCCCCCCCCTGTGCTTTGAGTAAATAGACGAGAGCCATGAGCTTGTATTCGATGATACGACTGACTGCAGGCCACGCGTCCCGCACGAGGCCGGCTGTAATTCCCCTCGCAGCCGTTTCGCCACCTCGTCGCTGGCGAACGTCTGCCTAATATCCAGCCGCGTTGCCTGGACACCGCCTGTTTACCGCCAACTCTGTTGAAATAGGGACGATGGTGAGCGAGTGTACACGTTGTGCGGCCGCAGAACAATGTTTCTCGTCGGCTTGGACATTTGCAGCGTTGTGCCCAGTAACATGTGAACGGTGAGCCAACGTTGTGGTCAAACGGTTCCAAACGCATGCTAACGTCGAGGACAACGTTGCATGTGTACTGGGTGGGGTGTGTTAGTGGTCAAATTCAGTTTGTTCTTTCAGTTTAACCAGGTGAGAACGCAAGAGGCTAGGGTAGTTACGTTGGCCGTCAAGTGGATCGGCTGTGCTTGTGGTGACCACGAAGTTTCCTGCGTGGATGCGATCATCTGGAATGATTCACTGCGTGGTCTCGAGTAATGTCCGCTCCACACAAAGGCGACTCAAATGAGTCATGTTCTGACACACAAACACACCGCGTTTCTGATTTTTCTAATTGTCTCATGCTTCACGGTACTCCCCACTTGTGAGTTTCACAACAGAGTTCATTGCAGAGTAATTGAATCAAGAAAAAATAATTAATTTTGCCTGTCAGCTGTAACTCAGATGAAAGAAATTCGTAGACTAGTGGGTCCCAATGCTTTTGGAACTGTGAATCAATTGTCAATCCTCAATATATTTTTTCTCCACCAACATTTTTAAAAAATGAATTAAAAGTAATCTAGTTCGTGTTCTTTTTATCTAGAATTAAAAAAAGCCATGCCAAACGATTAACGTTTTTTTAATTCATTTAAATGCATGAGATAGCTGGTCGTCCTTCAAGCGACTATTGCTTCGAGATAAATCAAAGTACTCGCCAGAGTTTCGCGGGCGATCCGTGGTCCGCCGACCCCACGGCTCGCGAACCACAGAGCTCGAGGTGAACGCGAGTTCGCTCCGCCGTGTCGCAGCCTCTGGGAGAGCGGGGACCTGACCGCACATTCTGGCACCGGGGCAACTTCTCATTTCGTGTCCTCCTTTTTAGGACCCCCCCCCCTCCCCAGTGGAAATTTCCAGGACCAGAGTGAGCCGCTTGCAGTTAAGCCTGCAGTGACACGGAGCGGCGGCGCGGGGGGCAATGCGCATGTATGCAGTGGATTTAATACCTGCTGCTGTCAGCCACATCGCTGCTAATCCACCAAATGCGCTATTCTAGGGATCGGCAACCCGCGACTTGAGAGCTGCGTGCGGTGGCTTCCACCTCCGTCTTGAGGTTCTTCGGCTGCCTCCTATGCGGGGCAGACGATTTTTTTTTGTAGAAAAAAAAACCCATTAAATTTTGTAACGTAACTTAACGTAAATATAATGAGCAATTATATTTAATTGAAACGGCAGGGAATGAGTCACCATGGGATGTCTTGGTGAAGACAAAATGTACAACAGTCAAAGTGTAGTGTTCAAGAATAACTCTGGGGAAAAACAAAATAAACGCAATTTATTCCATCGCCTATTTTGTTTATTTAAGTCCGAATGTGTCGTTGTTGTTGTCATCTGCTGTATACCCGCTGCTGTGTGTTTGTGTACTCTGCGTGTGATGCGGCTCTCGAGCAATTTTAATCAAGGCAAAAGCCCCAACGAATTTTTTTTATTTATTCATCGAAAGGTTGACGACCATCTGTGCTATTCTATAAGCCCAGCAACGACCCAATGGGCAAAGCAAGGCTAAAGTGTGGCACATGCGCGCGCTGTAATTCACGTGGGGAGTGGGTGGGGGGGGGGGCGATTTCCCTCCCCCTGGCTCGTGCCCTGAAACATTGCAGGAGGGAGCGGCTGCAAGATTCATCGCGAGACGTCACACGACGGCGGCGGCGGCGCTCGAGTCGGCGGCGTCCTGAGCGGAGCGCTGGCCGACACTGTCCCCCTCCTCTGTACGCGACATCCCCCCTCTCAGATTCGTGCCGCTGGCTCTGGCCGCCAAATGAGCCACGCCGCGTGTGTTGTGAACGCGCTGCCAGGAGCATTCCTGATCCCCTACTTCATGTTCCTGTTCGGAGGGGGCCTGCCAATCTTCTTCATGGAGGTGGCACTCGGGCAGTTCACGTCGGAGGGTGGCATCACCAGCTGGCAGAAACTGTGCCCGCTCTTCACCGGTATGCGCATCTCTGCGGCCAGGGAGGGGAGGGAGGGCATTGGTTGTAGTGCGTAACTGTGTTTTGTCGCTTTGAAATTGTTCCATTCAGAGGGGCGTCTGTATGCACCAGGAATTATATGCGCCGCTGGGCCAATGCTCAGAAGCGCTAGACGGTTGTTAACTTAATGATTGCTCTTAGGTTGTGTATTCTTTCAGAGACTAAACATGTTATTTGAATCTTGATTCAAGCTTTCGTGACTGCAGGAATCCATACTCGGTGGTTTTTTTCGGTAAAGTCAAGTAGATAGCAATCAAATAAAACAAATCACGACGTTTAAAACAAATCATGACGTTTCGATCGCAGCACACGCGACCTTCATCAGGTGTCACCGATACAGCAGGACAACCGCTGACATGTTTTATTTCTAACTACGCGACTTTACAGAAAGAACCAAAGAGAATGGCTCGTAAATTTCGATTTAAAGCTGTCGTTACTGCATGGATTCATATTCTTGGTTCTTTCGGTAAAGTCACGTAGAAGGGAAATGATAAAATAATAAAATTAAAACATAAGATAAAATTCTCACGACGTTTCGGCCACAACGCAAGCAGCCGTCCTCAGGTGAAGAACAGGGCTGTCTTATTATGTTTTATGTTTATTATTTTATTATTTCCCTTCTCCGTGACTTTACCGAAAGAACCAATAATAGAATGGCTCGTATTGTTATTTTTGGTTTGCCGACCGTAGTTCGAAATAGATAAATAAATAACGTCGTGATTTGTTTTATTTCATTTTATTTCTAACTACGTGACTTTACCAAAAGAACCAACGAGTATGTGAATAACAAGTAACCAAAAATACTTTCATGCTAATGTTGGAGGTCGACTTCTTATTTTGCATGGTCACCGTGACATTTGTAACGTTGTTTGTGTGGGTGTCAAGTTGATTAGGTCATTCGATAGCCCCTGTGGAAATCTGACGTTCAGTGTGTTGCCCTGCTTCTCTGTGTTTAGTGTGCTGTCCTTCCCCAGCTCCTCCCGACTAGCACGGTTGGCTATGTAGGGCGCGAAAGACGTTCAACATACATACACATACATTGTCGGTGATATTGCACGCAGTCACATTGGGGACTTCTTCATTATCACTTGATGAAGGAGGTGACCGCATCCGCCATGCCCTGTTCTGTAAGGGGTTAGGGCTGACCACTGTGTGTCCTGGGTTAGGGGTCGAACCCTGGGGAGTTTTCGCGTGGGGTCGATCGCAAGCTCCTGGTCCGTGATACGGTGGTGGGGTGGCGGGGGGGGGGGGGGGTGAGAGCTTCCGAAAGGATCGGTAGCTCCGGGTACATTCCGGCAGGTCTCAGCTAGACAATCACCTTCAATGCTCGTGCTGACGAACGAGATTAATGCCTTCACACCAGAAGAACACATGCATCTTGCAGTGCAGCACGTGTAGACACGCCTGGTGTAGCTTTCTCCTCCACAATAGCAGGCTGGCTCACGTGGCATACAACTATATATATAGCATCACATTTAATAGCGCACACGTACTTAACTCAACTAACCGCGCGGTGATTTTACTCTAACAGTAACTCTGGTCTTCGGTCCAAAAATTCATAACAAACGTGAACTTTCCCCTCGAGTAAACACGCGAACAGGTGCACCCTCGCTCGGGCCGCAGAGCTGCTTGAGCGTGAGCGGCACAGTGGAGGCTACGCACGAGGCCGGCTGTAATTCAGCACCGCTTGGAGGTCGGCGAGTGGGTTGGTGGCTCGAACAAAATAACTAAAAAAATTAACCCGTAAAAACCAAGTTTTTCACTATAAATCCTTTATCTGCGTGGCATCGGTTTTATTTAATTATTCATTTCTGTTTTTTTTTTAGTAAGAGTTTCATTTTTATCACATTGGTATTTTAAATTAAATATGAATTTTTTTTTTCCTAAAAAGTGGAAAATTTTGGAAAAAAATTTTCACGAAAATAAATTGTCACGCACAACGAGTCTGTGTGCAAAAGGTCAGCTCGATTGGATCACGGGAAGTGGGTTAAAAAACGACCGAAAGATTTGCACGGTCGTAAGCGCGCAAGCAAGCAAGTGAACTTAATATAAAGGATTTAAAAACGTTGCGAAGCTTCAGTCCCGTGAGCATCGAGGAGGCGCCATAGCCCGGGGCTTTCCAGCAGAACGGAGTACGGCAAAAATGTGGACTGATTTCCGTCCGTTCCTTCTGTTAGGGATCGAGTGTTGCCCCCTCGCACGCGTGGGGCTTATCCCGATTCTCTTGATTCATCCCACCTTTAGAGACACTCACTACTTGGCTAAAAAGTACTCAATATGTAGAGAACTGCAGAGCAATTATCGGTGTCGGCTCACCGCCTGGCAGCCTTCCAGCTCGGTCTCTGGTTCCTACTCTGCGACTGTGAGAGGTGACGTTTTCACGAACTGCGACGCTCTCATGAACGTCATCGTTAGATTGTAGTTTTGTTAAGCGGAACGGTCTCCGAGGTTAACCGAAGCGTGTCGCCAGGCATCTTTCAGAAAATAACTCACTGGGCAGAACATCTGCAGCTGTTACGGCTGGAGAATAGCCCATGTGAACTGGCGGCGGTGTACACATTAGAATTATTCACGTATATATATGTGTGTGTTCACAAACTATCCAAGGCGCTTTACACAGAATGCAACATTAGTACTACGTATGGATCTAGCGGTGGAGATGAGGTGAATGAAATGGATTAGAGGAAGCGATCGGGGGAAAATCTGTAATGATCCTTGAAATTGGTGAGAGCGAAAATGATGACAATAAATGATGATGATGATGATGAATGGATCGAATTAACGGGGTTAATGAGTGATAGCCATACAAGGAGAATACGAAGAGGGAAAGGTAACGGTGGCGGTTATGAGGGGAGATGAAGGGCGGGAGGGGGGGGTGAGCTTGGGAACAATGAGTGATCTTCTTGGTTATTTTGGTAAAGTCACGTAGAAGGGAAATAATAAAATAATAAAAATAAAACATAATAAAATAATTATCACGACGTTTCGGAAGGCAACACCGTCACAGCACGATAGCTATCGTGCTGTGACGGTTCCACCTGAAGACGGAAGCTTGTGTTGCCTCCGAAACGTCGTGAGAATGATTTTATTATGTTTTATTTTTATTATTTTATTATTTCCCTTCTACGTGACCTTACCGAAAGAACCAAGAAGATGAATCCCTGCAGTCACGAAAGCTTTAAATCGAAACAATGAGTGAGTTTTGAGTGTGGAGGGGAAATTAGTCGGCGTTTGTGTACGCGTCATTTATGCGTTTGCTATATCCGCCCGTGTGTGAGTGAGTGGGTGGGTAGGTATGAGTGAGTGTATGTATGTGGGTGAGTGTGAATGGGTGGGTGAGTGTATGTATAAGTAGGTGGGTGAGTGTGAATGGATGGGTGAGTGTATGTATGAGTGTGTGGATGAGTGTGAATGGGTGGGTGAGTGTATGTATGAGTGTTTGTGTGAGTGTGAATGGGTGGGTGAGTGTATGTATGAGTGTTTGGGTGAGTGTGCATGGGTGGGTGAGTGTATGTATGAGTATGTGGGTGAGTGTGAAGGGGTGGGTGAGTGTATGTATGAGTGTTTGGGTGAGTGTGAATGGGTGGGTGAGTGTATGTATGAGTATGTGGGTGAGTGTGAAGGGGTGGGTGAGTGTATGTATGTGGATGAGTGTGAATGGGTGGGTGAGTGTATGTATGTGGGTGAGTGTGAATGAGTGAGTGAGTGTATGTATGAGTATGTGGAGTGTGAATGAGTGAGTGAGTGTATGTATGAGTAGGTGGGTGACCGTATCCTTGCGATGAGACCTATTTTCCATCTCGAGTCATTGTCCAAACGAATTAATTTTACAAAAAAATGAAGACACCGCTGTGCCGAGCCGGGTGGGTAGGGACACCGTGCTGTGGCGTGGCGCTGTGTGCGCTCTGCGGTGTGCAGGCATCGGCTACGCGTCCGTGGTCATCGTGTCGCTGCTCAACATTTACTACATCGTCATCCTGGCGTGGGGCCTCTACTACCTGGGGTACGCCCTCACGGGAACGGTGCCGTGGGCGACCTGCGGGCACGAGTGGAACTCGGACTTGTGCGTGGAGGACGGCCTGCGCAGGAACCTCACGGCTGCCGCGGCCGCCGGCAACGCGAGCGGCACTCCCGCGGTCACTTTCACCTCACCCGTCACGGAGTTCTGGGAGTAGGTCCCCCCCCACCTCATGCCCCCCCACCATGCCCCCTCATGCACCTCCCCCTCCATGCCTCTCTTCCATGCCCTCCCCCCTTCCATGCCCCCCATGCCCCCCCCTCATGCCACCCCATGCCCCCCATGCACCCCCCATGACTCCCCCATGCCTCCCCCCCCATGATTGAGGTAATAACAATGGGAACGGGTATTCATTCTCCAGGGTGTGCCGGGGTCATCAGCTCGACTGTTGCTGCTGTATAGAGGGGCTGCATAAGCCAGAGAGAAAGACAGGAATGGGTGGCTGCGTGTTGCTGCCACTGATGATGCTGTTGCTGCTGTTGATTGCATGGATACTGCGGCTGATGTTATTGATGGTGCTAGGTGAGGGGATGATGACGATGTTGTTGCGAAACGTGCGCAATTGACCATCTGCTTTTGGAAACTGTTTGTTCATGAAAACGGTGGCTGTGGTCTGGTGTTTGGGGACCGCAGTCAAAACGGTCGCAGTGGATTCCTGCTCCACATTGAGGCAGCCCTCCTCGTCTCTTCGCAGACCCGAGTCAGTGGTGTTAATTGCGCATTCCTATGGGGGGAGGGAAGGTCCCAGAGTCACTTTAAATCCTAGATTTGAAGCTTTCGTGACTGCAAGGATTCATATTCTTAGGGTTTTTCGGTAAAGTCACGTAGGTAAAAAAATAAAATTAAAATTTATAAAAGTAAAATAAAAATAAAATAAAAATCACGACGTTTCGGAGGCAACACAAGCTTCCGTCTTCAGGTGGAACCGTCACAACACGATTGCTGTATCAAGTAAGAGAAATTCCAAGAAAACCGTCCTTGTATATATACTGGTTGGGGGTGGGAGGAGCCAAGGCAAGCCCCTGGATATTATTATTATTATTGTGAAGTTGGTGCGGCTAAAGCTTTTAATCTACAACATGTGAAGCACATATTCGTGGTTCTTTCGGTAAAGTCACGTAGATTAAAAAAAGTACATTAAACATTTAAAATTATAAATAAAAATAATAATCTTGACTTAAAGCTTTCGTGACTGCAGGAATTCATATTCTTTGGGTCTTTCGGCAAAGCCACGTAGATAAAAAAAATACAAATATCACGACGTTTCGATCGCAAGACAAGCAATCGTCATCAGGTAAACAAATATAGCGGGAGAGCTGCTGGGGCAGGATGCTATAAAGGTTTGAGATGGGTGTAGCCCAATGGTCATAAGCGAAGTGGGCGGGGCTAGAGATGAAATTTGCATGTAAATGTAAGATCGGAAAGCTGGGCTACCTCCACGAGGACGAAGCTGTGGAGGTGGCCATTGTATTGTGAGAGATTAGCATGTCAATGTAGGAGAAACGAGAGCCACCGCCACATCGAGGAAAATGAGCAACGGTGGCTGTGTTAGTGAGACATTTGAATTTTATTCTACTGTTTTAATTTTTTATTGTGTTTTTATTATTTTCTATTTATTATTTCTATTTGTTTATTATATTTATATAAAAAAAAATTGTTTTCTATTTACGTGACTTACTGACAGAACCAAGAATATGAATTCCTGCAGTCACGAAAGTTTTAAGTCAAAATGTGAGGCACACGCAATCGCGCGAGATCTGTGGACCTCGAGCGCTAATCCTCGTGGCCCAGTCGGCTCCCAATGGTGTACCGACCAACGGGACACACACACTCTGACACAAGCGACTCCTTTGTTTGTCATTGAAAGCGCTCAGACTCTGTTCATAAAAGCTGAGCCCACGGACAACGATTGGGCTGCACGATTTGACCTCGGCTTTGAGATAATCATTTCCAGTTCAGAAATCTGCATTTGCTGCCGGTTAATCAGTGAGGAGTCAATTGGAAAAAGTACAACCGCAACTCAATAACTACAGTAGTGTGTGTAGTTACGCATTGGTTTAAACCAGAGGTTGGCAAACTGCGGCTCTGTGGCTTCCCACCTTTGTGAGCAAACACAACTTAACGCAAAGCCAGTCAACAATGTATTACAAATGACAAGGAATGGGTCACTGTGGAATGCTCTTGGTGATGACAAAATGTACGACAGTCAAACTGTCGTGTTAAAGAATAACCAAGGATAACAAAAACGAAATAGGCGCAGTTTATTCCATCACCTGCAGTATTTTGTTGATTTAAGTCAGACTTTGTCATCTGCCGTATACCCGCTGCTCTGTGTTGTGTACAAGTGGCTCTGCGTGTGATGCGGCTCTCGGAATATTTGGTCAAAGACAAAAGCCTCCCCAAAATGTCTCTTCTTTGAAAGGTTTCTGACCCCGTAAATGTAGAAGCGTCACTACGAACTCCATTAGTGCTGCAGTTTATGCTCGCTGTCGGTTCCCCTATGCGGAATCATCGTGGCAAGAGGACCCTATCTGTAAAGTGTCCGTTTCTAAAAAGGTGCTGGTGTGGCATAACCGTCCTATAAAGTCCCATTTCCAGCGCTGTATTATATCGTGTATGGTACAAGATGTGCTGCAGTTGACCAATTCCTTTCCAGTTGACATTTATTCACGAGATGGAATGAAGTAATTCAGAAGTGGGATTTAAAGTGAATCCTCAGAAAGAATAAAAACCTCCTATGTTAGCCGGAATACGAGAAGCCAGAGTCGCAGCAGTGGCTGTGTTAACGACTGACTTGGAAAACATCTCAACAAATCTTGTTTTGGCTGCGACACGAACTGCGCGTCACCACGAAGTGACTCGCGGACTTCTGTGGTTTGCTGTGGTGGGACAGACGCAAGGTGTTGGGGCTGTCGAGTGGCATCCAAGAGCTGGGCGCGCTCAAGTGGGACCTCACGCTCTGTCTCTTTGCCGTCTGGGTCATTTGCTTCTTCTGTATCTGGAAGGGAGTCAAGTCCACAGGCAAGGTGTGTGTGTGTGCGCGCGCGCGCGTGCGGTACTCAGAGAGGCGGTGCAGTGGTGAGCGCGCTGCACTGACGAACCCAAACCACCCGAGTTCGATTCCCGCTCAAGGCCAACATCAGTGACGATTATCTGAACCGTTAGGTCTGAGTGGGTGAGTGTAAGTGTATGGGTGAATGTGAATGTATGATTGAGTCTGTCTGTGGGTAAGTGTGAGTTGGGTGCGATGTGTGAGCATCGCCACTAGGGAGACAACGGCGGCCGGGCGTGATGTTGGCCACCCACCTCCTCGTGTCCCGTGCCCGCCTTCATAAGTGCTCGCTAACAGCACTTGTCCCAACAGTCGGTTAAGGCTATATGGGGGATCTTTGCCATTGTTGGGTGGGTGAGTGTATGAGTGGGTGAGTGTGTGTGTATGAGTGTGTGGGTTTGTGAGTATTAGTGTGTGGGTGGGCGAGTGTATGAGTGGGTGGGTGAGTGGGTGGGGTGGTGAGTGTATGAGTGGGTGAGTGTGAGTGTATAAGTGGGTGGGTGAGTATATGAGTGGGTGAGTGAGTGTGAGTATATGAGTGGGTGAGTGAGTGTGAGTGTATTAGTGGGTGGGTGTGAGTAGTCAGGCAAAAACAACCTCCTACCTACTCGTTGGTGCCGGACGGCATCGCTGTCGTGAGCAGTGCTGTGGGGGGAGGGCCAATGTAGATTCGCCATTCCCCTCACAGCATTTATAACCACCACAGCGGCCAAATGGGGGCTCTGGATGGGTGCAAGGGGCTGGTAACCCATCCACCTTCAATGAATTACCGCTAAACCACGATTTAAAACTTTAATTAAGCTTATGCCGGAGGCCCCGGGGGGACAGGCGTCTATGACGTCTCCTGGCCAAACCCCAGTTGGCGGAGCCAGGAGACTGAATCCTTACCCTCGGGGCTCCTCCAGATACAACAAAAAGCCACTTCGGATGGCCACGTGGAATTTTCGAATGCTCACTGCGGAGGAGACGCTGCCACTTATCTGCCGAGAGCTGGATCGGTACCGCCCGGATCTCTGTGGTATTCAGGCGGTCCGGTGGACCGGCTCTGGCTCCTCCCACCATGAGGGTTGGAGAGTCCTCTACTCGGGGCAGGAGACTGTCAAACAACAGGAAGTAGCTCTTCTTCTGAACAAAATAATGAAGGGGGCGTGGGAGTGTGGCATTGAGGTGTGGGAAGCTGTAAGCCCCCGGCTACTTTGGGCTCGCATTTCCATCAACCATAGGCGAGGAGTGGTGGTCGTGGTTACTTATGCCTCCACCGAAGACGAACGTCCGTGGAGGGATGCAGGCAAGGCCGATGAGTCAGATGCCTTCTATGACCTCCTGTCACAGGTGCTGTCTAAAGTGGCCCCTCGGGATAGAGTAATCTTGTTGGGTGACTTAAATTCCCGAGTTGGTCATGATGCTAGCACATGGTCTGGAGTGATTAGAAGATACGGACCAGATCAGCTCAATAACAATGGTAGGAGGCTGCTGTATTTGTTTGTGCAGCCCATGAGCTTGTAATTACAAATACGTGCTGTTCCGGCATCGGCGCATCCACACAACATCATGGATGCATGCTGGGTCCAAGCAAGAACATCTGCTGGACTACATAGTGATGGAACAGCGGATGTGGGCCCATGTCCTTGAAACATGGACCTACCGTGGAGCTGATATGCCCACTGACCATCGACTTGTCATCTCTAAGATGTGCCTGCCATTCTTCCACTCCGGTGGTGGGTGTACACCTAGGACCCCATTCAAATCCATAGTGGCATGGTCTCGGCTAGCTGAATTAAAGTTGCAAGTGAGAATTTCACCATCACTTGCAGCTGGGGTTGGCATCGTCCCCCACTCCTCCTGATGTCGAGGGGAAATGGGCGAGGCTTAGGACTGTGGCTCATGCAGCTGCAATTGCTGCTCTAGGTACACGATCCAGACCTCATCAGAGACCCTGGCTGACAGAGGAGGTGTTCAGGCTGGCAGAGAAAAAGCGACAGGCCCACTTTCATCGTCTACAGCATCCCACGTCAGAGAATGAGGAGGCTTACCGCAGCCTTCGCTCGGAGGTTCGGAGAGCCGTGAGGCGCTGCAAGGATGGTTGGTGGTCGCGGGTTGCTGAGGAGATGGAGTCTGCCTCAATGGCCCGCGATCACAAATCGCTCTTTAATTCCATCTAAAATATAACCTGCATCGCCACACCTATGCCCATCATTAGGGGAAAGAATGGTGATCCAATATTCGACCCCCAGGAACAGGTTTGCAGATTTGCTGAGCATTTCTGTGAGGTCCTGGGGGAGGGTAAACCCTTCAGCCTGGAAAACATCGTGGGGATAAAGTAGAGATGACCCTGCTGAGGCTGCGGTGCCTCAAATATTGGAAGGAGTCATCCCCTGTGAATGGCTGGCTGAGGTGCCATCTGTTGAAGAAGTACTGAAGGTGATCCAGAGTCTGAGACCAGTCAAGGCACCGGGCAGAGATGATCTCCCAAGCGAAATCATAACAACAGTCCTGGACCACTGTACGGGTTCCGCACGATTGGAAGGATGCCCTTGTGGTCCCCTCTTTAAGAAGGTGGACCACACAGACTGTAACCCACTACAGGGGCATCTCACTCCTCAGTGTGCCGGAAAAGGTCCTGGCAAGGATTATTCAACATTGCCTTGCCAGGCACGCTGAGGAGAAGCTTGCAGAGCCCCAATGCGGTTTAAGGAAAGGGCGGTCCTGCACAAATGCCATATTTTCTGTCCGTCTGCTACAGTAGAGGTGTAGGAAATTCCAACAAGACCTACATCTCTGCTTTATTGACCTGGTCAAGGCCTATGATACCATCAGTAGGCCTGCACTCTGGGTTGTTCTCATACTTTCAGATTCCCTGACCCGCTGCTCACGATGATTAAGGACCTTCATGATGGTGAGCGGGCCCAGGTAAAACTACTTTGCCCGGAGTCTGAGCTATTCCCTGTTAAATTTGGGGTGCGACAAAGATGTCCTCTAGCTCTGACATTATTTCACATCTATTTTGACCACGTAGTTCGTGAAGCCTTCAATAGCTGCACTGGAGGAATTTTCCATCTGGTACAGATGCAATGGGAGGCTGATCGATGTCCGGGTGCAGTCAAGGGATGGCTCCCTATTGCTCAACCATGTTATGTATGCCGATGATCTGGTAATTGCTGCTCAGTCAGAGGAGGAGTTGGAGGCGCTGCTGCTGAACCTGGAGCTTGCCACTAAGAGGTGGGGACTTACCACCAGCCCCACCAAAACTAAGCACCTGCCTCGGTATTTTGTGCCATCAGACACTCCACCCCCACAACTCCCAATTGGTGATGGGGCAGTTGTGGAGAGAGTAGAGAGCTTCCCATACCTGGGCAGTGTGCTCATGTCTGGCTCCGGTTTGGCAGCAGAGGTCTCACTCCGAATCAATCGAGCGGCATTATCTTTTCATTGGTTGTGTAACGCTGTGTGGAAGCTACCTGGTCTGTCACTCCGCACGAAGCTTCAGGTCTTCTCGGCCACAGTCACTCCCTCCCTTCTCTACGCTTGAGAAACGTGGACCCCCCCCCTAATGGAACATCTTCGCCGGTTAGAAACATTTAGGCTGGCCTGCCTACGGTCCATCTTGAGTTTAACCAGGCTAGATTGTGTGAGGTGCTCACATATCCTTGAAAGATCTGGACAAAGTTCCATTGGTAAGCTCCTCCAGCAGGCAAGGCTGCGTTGGCTGGGTCATGTAGCCCGTATGCCCAGCCACCGCGTGCCTAAACAGCTTTTGTTCGGCCGGATCGAGGGGCTAAGCGGGCGCACGGTACGGGCTAGAGAAGAGATGGAGTGATGTGGTACAGGAAGATGTGGAACTGAGTGGACTTGCTGAAGACTGGTACCAGCGGTAACAAGATTGGCCTCTATGGAGGAGGCTCGTGAAGGACGCTACGGGGCAGTTGGAGGCAGTCGCCCTCCAACGACAACGGAGGGTGGAGGAAAGATGCTCACAATAACGAGCAGAGCGCCGGGTGGCTAAAGCACAGCAAGTTGGCACAGTAGGGGGCACAGGTGGTGCATCAGCCAGTCATCTCAGTCAGTCGACCCGTGGCACCTGGGTCTGCCGCGTGACCTCCTGCCAGCGGGCGTTCGACACTTCACGTGGCCTCAACGTGCACATAGCCGGCCACACGCGTCGTTGTGACGTCACTGCCACTTAGTGGCGCATGGCGGTTGTTGCTGTTGTTGGGTGTGAGTATATCAGTGGGTGGGTGAGTGTATGAATGGGTGAGTGGGTGGGCGAGAGTATGAATGGGTGGGTGTGAGTATATGAGTGGGTGGGTCAATGTGTGACTGTATACATGGGTGAGTGTGAGCTGGTGAGTGTGAGTGAGTGGGTGAGTGAGTGTATGAGTGGGTGGGTGGGTGTATGAGTGAGTGGATGGGTGTGGTGTGTTGTGACCTGCATTGTGGTTGTAGAACACAGTGTGGATGAGACGTAACAGTCTGGTCGTTGATATATGAACCGGCCAACTTGGCCTCGAATGGGTTCATGGCGCAGTGTGTAAACACAACTGCCCTTGGGAGACAAAGGCGGCCGGGTATGGTTTCCATCCACATCACCCCCGCATGTTGTGACATGGCCTTAATAGGTGCTCAATAACAGCACGTGTAAGTGCTTGCATCATGACCATCGCTGTGGTCATTTTAATTATCGGAACAGCGTTTGCAGATTGTGCAAGGGGGTATGTGTGTGTATGTGCCTATGCCAATGTTTCATGCGTACGGTCTTAGTGGTGAACACTGTTTGTGCGAACCACACAAGTTTTACGTAAGTCAGGTGCCACAGCCAAAGAGACATTTACTTCTGGCACACAACAAATACATTTGAAGCTCAATTCAAACGGCAAGGGTTTAAGTTGTCGTGAATAGATCGGGTAACCTTAGTCGCAATGCCTTGCCAACTTTGAGCAGCATGAATCTCTCCGTATCGACGGGGAGGGAAGGTAGCCAGTCCCAAAATTCCATAATAGGAGTTGTTTTGGTTAGATCGCGTAAATATATAGATGTGTCGTTAAAACCCGCCACCACCCGACACAGCTAACTAGTAAGGGTTGTCACGTAAACAGAACGTGGCCAATTCGTCACTAGTACAGAACTAACCGGTATGTTGGAGAGCCAAGCCACAACATTTACAATCCGAGTGCGACGTTTCGCCAGTAATTACAACTAGCTTCATCAGGCGACAGCCAGATTTGTGGAGAAGCTTAACTGTTTGTTCCTTATATAGAGTAACCTCCCCCCCCCCCGCCACTTGGCACAAGAGCGTAGAAGGGTGGTCACCACATCTACGCCTCTATATAAGGAACAAAACAGTTAGGCTTCTCCACATATCTGGCTGTCGCCTGATCAAGCTAGTTGTAATTACTGGCGAAACGTCGTACTCAGATTGTAAATGTTGTGGCTTTGCTCTCCCAACACACCGGCGTGATGTACTAGTGACGAATTGGCATGTTCTGTTTACGTAACAACCTTTATTAGTTGAATGTGTTGGGTGGTTGTGGTTTTAACGACATATGTATATATTTATGCGATCTAACCCAAAAAACCCGCTATTATGGATGATATTGGTTGCAAAAGCCGACTTGTTAAAGCCCCAATCTTGCCTTCGCGACGGCAGGGAGCAGCATATTTCGCCAAGAATTAGCCCACTGCATGCGAGCACACAGCCGTGATGCGAGGCGTCCGCGGGACAGCGTGGCGCGGTCAGATTTGGCGTGGCGCGGTGAGACTTGGCGTGGCGCGGTGAGACTTGGCGTGGCGCGGGGTGGTGGGGCATTGGCGTAGGCGCGGTGAGACTTGGCGTGGCGCAGGGCAGGTGAAGCCTGGTGTGTGCCGGTGGGGTGCTGCCAGGTGGTGTACTTCACGGCCACCTTCCCCTTCGCCATGCTGATCGTGCTGCTGGTGCGGGGGGTAACTCTACCCGGCGCTGCTGACGGCATCGCCTTTTACCTCTACCCGGACCTCACGCGGCTCACCGACCCACAGGTGCCCTCTCTGGTCTCTTCATCTAACGCCTTACACTCGTTGAGCCCGAGGCCCGACAACGCCCAGCGGCCATCAACAGACAGCACTCAACGTTGCATTGAGAGCAGTGCCGTGGGGAAGCAGCGCCAAAGAGACGCGTCCCATGGCCTGAAGTCTGCCGACAGAACGTAGTGTGGTCTCTCTCGGCGCTTGGCACCGCTGCGATGAGAACGCGGGTCCGTGACGCCTTCGTCTGTGTGCGCTCGGCCGCTCCCGTGTCTTCTCGTGCGATGTCACAGGCAGAGAGAGCGAGCGCTTTCCTGCCCGCAGGGGCATTGAGGGAGGTGCTCATCAGCTAATGCACCGCCCCTGAGCCAGTGGTGGGAAATTACTCGTTAACATGCCGGGGCCGAGCCTGTGGCACGCTACTCGTTACTACGACCCCAGAGGAATGATGGCGCTGTTCCTACTCTCAACCAGGATTTGAACTCGCATACTTCGAGGCCACCTGGCAGGACCGCTCCTTAGCCATGTGCTTGTCTGCTAATCTACACGAGGCAGGGCTGAGATTCAGTTGAACGCAGCACTCGCTACGCCCTCATGCTCACACACACACACACACCTGTGTGCCTCCCTGAACTTCGTGCCCAGGTGTGGATCGACGCAGGGACACAGATCTTCTTTTCCTACGCCATCTGCATAGGCGCCATGACATCCCTGGGCAGCTATAACCACTACAAGTACAACTGCTACAGGTAAGCGGCATATGGAATGTTCCCTCCTCCCTCGATGCAAGCCTCGTGGGAGAATGCCGGTGCTGAATGGGCCGCGTGTGTGGCGCTTTGGTTGTTCTCTCGAATGTCTTCTCTCTCTCTCTCACACACACACGGCCAGCTCTGGCGTGCACTTCGAGTGAGGTTGGGTGGATGAAGCGGTGACTCGTAGCGAGACGAAATTTGTTGCGTGCTGCCGTGGCGTGAGTCGCGGGAGCGATGCTGCGACAGGGTTCATCGGAGGGGTGTGGGGGGAGTGGGGGCATGGTTGCGTGACAGCACCGTCAGGTTCGTTCAATTTTTTTTTTGGAGCGAATGCTTTGCCCAGCGAGGGCACCGGGCACGCAAGGGGTAAATAAATAAGTAACGCACACGCATGTCGATGTTTCTTGTCAGCGCGACGTAGCCACAGCGCCATGCGACGGCCTCCTGCTCCAGCACGTGCATGGCAACCGCATTCACACAGCGGGGCTGACGCGTAGTAGGAGTAGTCGTACGATGCCACGTCGATGTTCGGAAGCGGCACACACAAACACACACCCTGTCCCACGTCACACTGCGAGCGGTTCAACTGAACCCAACTGGCGCCTTGGGAGGTCGAAGCGAGTGGGCAATCCGGACAGACGGATCACCGATGAGGTGCTTGTTAGGCAACGTCCACGCCTCTCCATTACTAGCCCCAGGCGGCAGTGCGGGTTATCCCGCAAACTCAGAGACTTTGGGCTGTGGTGGTGCCGGGCGAGAGTGCGATCATCTTCGGTCGGTCACAGGACGAGCTCGGCGCATTCCTTGCCCCAGCCTTGTCCGTCTCTTCCCCATCGCAGCCCACAACCGCAACCAACAGGGGGCTGCTTCGTTCGTCCAGCGTGGGCTGCTGTTGCTCCTTCAGAGGCTCGAGTTAAAGGCGAGCCGGCGAGCCGGCGGGCGTTTCGCCTTCGCGTCTGCAGCTCCGCGCGTTGTCGAGTGCACTCGCCTCCCCGATCCGCATTCGCCAAGTCCTTTCCACTAATTAAGTGCCATCTCAACACCTGGTTGTTTCATAACCTGGTTGTTTCTCTACATCGGCGCACTTTAATTGAGTTGACCCTGGTCCGGGTGCGCTTGTGTGCCTTGCGAGGTGCAATATTCTTGCTTTTTATTTTATTTTGTTTTCATTTCTGTTCTGTCTTATACAGCCGTTGTCAGATGCAGTTTTGCATGAGCAACGCCATATACGCATCGTTATTAGTATTAACTCCACGCACACCCGTGTGATAAAGCGCTTTCTAAATAAAGGAATAATATTTTTGGCAACGCCGCCGCTGCTGCTGCTGCTTCTTTGACAGCGGTGCATAAATAACGACACTCAACACATTCGTCAATAACACCGCGGCCTTAAAAAAAAAAATAAGAAACATATAACTGGGTATGGCCCGCTGAGCTGTGTAGCTCTCTTTCAGAAGCGACTTGGTCACAAATGGTAGGTCAACGAAGTGGCTTATCACGTGGAAATTTATAGCAGCCAAGTATTCTAAACGCACGTTTCTAAATGTTGAGGGAAAAACCGGAGGACCCGGAGAAAAATCCGCGTGACCACGGGAGAGAGAGAGAGACGCAAACTTCAAATATACAGCAGCAGGCGTCAGGGTCGGGAACGAACACACGACCTCCTGTATACCAGGCGAGGTAGTTAACATCTCTCCACCGTGGCACGTTTCGGGCAATGACTCTTATCCAGAGCCCATAGAGAGGCCAGAGCGATTGAGTGAATAAGAGATGGAGGCTTCCCTATTCTATCTATTGGACATTTGTTTTGCCAGTATTAAAATTATATATGTAAAAAAATAAGAATTGGTTTTACCATTTCTGGAAATACCACAGGAGTTGTGGATGTTCAAACACCAAATGGACACACACCTGTTTCGTAGCATGATCAAGTCTGCATTGACCACCCATGCTTGTGGTCAAACATGGAAACACAAATGCTCTGATAAATATACGCAGTCTTTGAAACTGATTGGCCTACGTACGTATGAAAGGTTGAACTTCTTCTGCACGGTAACCAACCATGCTAATTGGAGGTGCGGGGGAAGCACAACAAACTAAACACAAAAAACGAGACAACCTCCTTCATGGGCTTCCCTCTGATAAAAGTATTAATTGAAAGAATATAGAGTCCGAAGTGGCCGTAACAACGGGTAGCCACGATTGGCTTCCGAGTAGGAGATACACCGAACGCGAAAGTTGCGTGCACACTTATCCGAGAACGGCTGACACATTGCGTCCATGTCGCAGTTTGGCGTTTTTGTCTTTTTGGAACGAGCTGTTTGAAGCGCCTAATTATCGACGCATCCTCTCGCGTAGATTCGACGACGGGGGGTTAAATGACAAGGCACGAAAGGGATGCTCCTGATGCGTTGTGCACAGCGCACTTCAGACAAAGTTCGACGTTCTCACTGGTGGCCGTTAATGCATTGCAGAGGCCGAGCTGGTAAGATGACCCAGCCAGCTTAACGCGGGTGTCACGCAGAGGGTTCGTGTCTTTGTGATGCGGCAGGGGTTTAATTGGTGGTGGTGGGGGTGGGGTGTGGGGGGGTCTCTGGGGCAGACACGGGGCGGTGTGGGGCGAGCGTCGTCCGCTTGGGTCGTATTGGAGCGGGCCCACGTGGCCGGGTACAAGGGAGGCCCTGCTGACGCTAGCTGAGTGAACGTTATCCCTCCCTCACTCCACTGGCGTCTGGGTGGCACTGAGATCGGTGGCCTCTTTGTGGAAGGGGACTCAGGAAAGGATGATACCTGGCAGTCACTGGCAGCCGACTTGCACGAGCAGTGGGCGAAGAGGAGACGCGGTTGATCACAGCACTGAGGAGGGCGTTCGGTGCCTAGAAACACCTCAGTGAGCTGTCACAGGTGGCGGCTCTGCTGCTCTCCCTCGTGTATGAACCCGTGGGCATGTGTATCCAGGTGCAACCTGGATGGCATTATAGGCGAGGTCACTGCCCCTTCATGAGAAGTGTTGGTTGGGGTTGTGTTGGTGGTGGTGGTGTGTGGACAGGATTCGGCCTCAAATGATGTAAAATAATCGCCACTGGGGAGACAAAGGCGGTCGGGCGTGGTGCGGGCCACCCCACCCCTTCTTGTGTGTACGTATCTGTACATGTGCGTGTGTAGGGAGCGGTGGTGTAGTGGTTAGCGCGCCACGCTACGAATCCAGCGACCCGAGTTCGATTCCCATTGACGGCCAACAACCAGTGACGAATATCTTACATCGTCATGGGCCTCCCGTAGGTCGACTCGGCCTCAAAATGGGTACCTGGTGCGATGTGTAAACATTGCCACAAAGGCGGTCGGACCTGGTGCGAGCCACCCCACCCATTCGTGTATTGTCCGGGCCTTCAGAGGCGCTCGCCAACAGCACTTTCCCTAACAGTCTGTTCCAGGCTATACGGGGACAGGGGGTCCTTTATCTTTGTGAACAGCACCGTCCTCAACAGCGTCCGTGGCGGCTATCAAGGGGATATCTGTGTCTGTGTGTGCCCGTGTGTGTGCCCATGTGTGTGCACGGTAGGGACTGCCTCATTCTGGGCTGCCTCAACAGCGGCACGAGCTTCATCTCCGGCTTCGCCATCTTCTCGGTGCTGGGCTTCATGGCGCAGGAGCAAGGCCTCCCCATCGCAGACGTAGCTGAGTCAGGTGCCGACACGGCCACACGGCACGCACGGCCAAAGTGGCACACGGCCAGATTCACTTGTAATCGCGTAATTACAAATGTGTCGTTAACCCCTCCACCACCCGACACAGTCAATTACAGGGACTCCTCTGCTTACGAAGATTTAACTTACGAACTTTCAGAGATACGAACAAACGTGTCCCTATGTCCATTTGCCTGTTTGAGCTGAGAGTCGTAAGTTCAACCGCTACGCAATAGATGGCAGTGGTGGTATCTACATATGCAGAACGTGAAGAACCAGTGGCATCTACATCTGTAGAACATGAAGAACCAGTGGCATCTACATCTGCGGAACGTGAAAAACCAGTGGCATCTACATCTGCAAAACGCGAAGAACCAGTGGCATCTACATTTGTAGAACATGAAGAACCAGTGGCATCTACATCTGCAGAATGTGAAAAACCAGTGGCATCTGCATCTATGGGAGATTATACAACTTTTAAAGCCATTCCCTGTATTTAATGCACCAGCCTTACAACATGTTTGGAATCGACAGGAGTAAAGTTTAACTTACGAATAAATTGACTTGCGAACAGACCTCTGGAACCCAACTCGTTCAGGAGGAGAGGAGTCCCTGTATAGTAAGGTCTGTCACAGAAACACAAAACGTGCCCATTAGTGTTTTACTTCAACACACGAGCTGCGTGTTGGGAGCGTAAACCCGCAGCGTTAACAATCTGAGTACCATGACGTTTCCGCTGGTGGTTTACGACGACCGCCTTCATGGGGCGACTTGTCAGAATCGTGTGGAGGCCCTCCTGTAGCTGTTGCTGGGCTGCAGTTCCATGCTGACGGCTTGTAAACGACCACGATGACGATGACGACGACGACAATGACGACAACAACGACGGTGGGTCTGGTGGTGCTGACGTCGATGGCGCTTGCGCTCTCTCTCTCGTGTGCACAGGCCCCGGGTTGGCGTTCATCGCCTACCCAAAGGCTGTCTCCATGATGCCTTTCCCCACCTTCTGGGCCGTGCTCTTTTTCGTGATGCTCATCCTCCTCGGCCTCGATAGCCAGGTCAGAGTCCCGGTCACGGGGTTTACTGTGCGGCTACAACGGTCACAATTGGGTTACTTCGTTCGGTGCTTTACATAGCATGTTTAATAATGTGCCATTTGTCTTCTGCACGCGTTCACGTGGGGGGCTGGGCTAACGCGTAGCCGTGCGTGCCCGTGTAGTTTGTCGAGGTTGAGGGCCAGGTGACGTCACTGGTCGACCTCAATCCGGCGTTCCTCCGCCGGGGCCATCGCCGGGAAATATTCATCGCCCTCATCTGCTTCGCCAGCTTCCTGCTCGGCCTGCCAATGGTCACAGAGGTGAAGGCACCAGGGGTTTTGTAATATCGTTTTGTTGTTGGGTGAGATGGCGTACATATGAATGTGTTGTTAAACCCGCCACCACCCGACACAGCCAATTCGTAAGGTTTGTCACGTACACAAAACATGCCAATTTGTTACTAGTACAGCACTAACCGGTGTGTTGGAGAGCCAAGCCACAACATTTACAATCTGAGTACTTTGGCGTTCACTTGACACCACACGCCCGCTTGCTGCGCACGACCACGGCGTCTCAATGAAGGCGGCACGCCGGGCGCGCTTCTACTCTGACACGCGTCCTTGCTGCCCTCGTCCTAGGGGGGCATGTACGTGTTCCAGCTCTTCGATTACTATGCGGCGAGCGGCGTGTGTCTGCTCTGGGTGGCCTTCTTCGAATGTGCAGCTGTGGCCTGGGTCTACGGTGCGGCTGCCCTCACGCATCACCACGCACTACACGCACCGCATGCACTACACACACCATC